TTTGGGGTCCTCTGCTGGACCTGCTACCCCCACAGCCCAACCCCAGGTAAGCGGATGAACATGATACAGATAATGGAGGGAATGGCCATCTAGCCAGCAGTTTGAGAACCCTGGGCTAAGCCACTGGCTTGTGTACAAGCTGTACAGTATGATAGTACCTGATCTAACTTATTATGTCATAACCAAAATGATGGCCAAAGATATGGCAATAAGATACAAGTTTCAGTAAAATGGAATGTTCTCTTTTTTTTTTGTCCGCAATTAATAGGAAGGCTCAACAATAACAACAATAGCACCAAATTACAAAAAATTACATACGTACATAAAAGGTTACGTTGTTCCATCTTAAAATGACTGGTCCAGACAACAGTATCCCCTACAGTCTCCTTTACCCTTGCCCTCTCATGCACCCCAAACTCACATCCCACAGCCCCAGTGGTTTCAATTAATTTCTCAGTCTCAGCCTGAGAATATCAACCCAGGAGACAAGACACCCATTACTGCCAGGTCTCCAGCTCCATTTATACTATACAGCTGAGGAAGGAATGCTGAGGACACTCTGAGGATAACAACACTATGTTCTATATCCGGGATGAGAGTTGTATACACAGACATCTGTGTTCATTATTGAAAACCTACAATGACATTTTTCATTTGTTGAAAAAATGGAGCTAGTGAATTCAGCAATCGAATAAAAAAAAAACAGGTCAGAGAAACTTGTGCATGGTGTGTATTTTCCAGTGCAGGTGCATGCGTACATCCTGAGCATGGAGGTGTGCTGAAGGTTGCATGAGTGTGTCCTTGTACTTCTGGCTGCTTGGTCTATATTTGGTTAGCGAGCCACCTGGATCCTTCTTCAGACACTAACAAGCTAACTGCCTGTCATTTAAACAAGGGACTCATATCTAAAGCTGTAAGAATGAAGGTGAAAGGTGTTGAAATGGTGTAGAAATATCAAAAATGTAAACAGCAAAGGCAACAATAAAAGTGGAGTTGGCAAAGGTTTCATGGAAATTATACAGCTAGTTGGTTAAGTGAAATGGTAAACATTTCCCTCTCTAAATATATAAACAGCCTTTTTTCAGGAAGCCCCTGCAAATTTAAATTTGTTGCAGTTTAAAGGCAAAAGAAAACATGTATTCTGTCCCTGTTACTACTGCATTTAATAGCGTTTTGAGCAAATTGCCACATTCGTTTTAACAGAAATGCACAACAGGGGTGCCTGCAGAGGGGGGGAATGTAACAATCCTGTCTTGTATGGTTGTAGGGTGAGAACACACATTCGAGAGTTGCACATGAGAAGTAGGATTTAGGCAACACACATTCCCAAAGTTCCCAACAACACCTAATCCAACTCACTTAACACAGTCAACAGTAATACAAAACTGTGATAAACAATTCTACACGTGTAATTCCACGGCTCGTCTTTTTTTTTTATATATATATTTGCACTTAAGACAACAACACCAACTAGTAACTAATATTTGTCATCACACTGCAAGATGTCAGATAACTACATCTCAGTGTGGGTGAAAAATCATGACATTTTCTACTTAAACATTAAGAAACTGAATTGCAGTTGCAGTAAACTGGAACTTCAAACTTAATGGCATATCTGGAATATACCATTTTACAGCCATAGAGGCCATAGAAATGGTCAAATGTTGAACAAAATCATTCTTATTGGCCATTAATTATCAGGGAACTCTAAGGTTGCACAAATGAAATGTCACTGAAACAAAACTAGGAATGTACAGCCATGTTAGTGGCCTTGTGAGGCTGTACTGCAAACACAATGCAGCATGTTAACAGGCTCACATTAACAATACTGACATGTTCATGTTTAGCTATTTTAGTTTAGTGTCTGACAATGCTAGCAATTGCTAATTAGCTTTAAACACAGGGTTTTGGGGGAATCTTCAGCTTTATTGGACATAAGAGAGTACTCGGAGTCGTCAGAGTAAAGAGGTAGAGAGGAAATTGAGAATAGAAGTGGGCTGGCTGGGATCACCCCAGTGACGATGTTAAGGCAGAGTAAAAATTTTCTCCGTTGGAGGCGTCAACCCCTGGGGACTATGAATGTCTGCACTAGGGATGGGCATCGAAACCCGGTTCTATCAAGGA